TGCGTGCGGAGGTGGGGAGGAGGAAAGGGGAAAAGGGGGGGAGGAAGAGGGGATGGATGAGAAACGGAACAAACAAGGAGGAGCAATTCATGAAGCCCGAGCAGGAGGAAGAGGAGGGCCGTCGATGGCAACCTACCAAAGAGTGTAAGGGACCTTCATAATTGGGAGATGATGACGCTTGAGCTCCGTTTCTAGACCAAACAGCTGGGCCTGCTAACAGCAAAATCGGAATTACCGTTAGAAAGGGGCAGAGGGAAAAGGGTTTCAGGTGAGTTGGTTGGTTTTTGGGTTATTATGGCCAAGGTGGGGAAGGAGGGATGAGGAATGGAGGTTGGCAGAGGAGGAAATCGGCAGCGCGACGGCGACGCGGAATGGCGCCGTTTTGGGGGGGGGAGGGGGTGAATCTTCCCCCAGGAAAACCAGCCAAAAAAAAAACCAAAAACCAACCAAAAAAAAAACCCCAAACAGAACCAAAAAGAGCCAAAAGAACCAAAACAGCCACAAAAAACCCCAGCGGTCAACGCTGAAAATGAAACGAAATCGGAAAGCGCAACCGCGCGGTTTCGAAAGCGAAGCGTTCGGTAACAAAACGGTACCTGAGAGAGAAGGGGGAGAACCGACAGGAGTTGAAGGGTTGGATGGGAAGCTGGTGTTGGTGTGATCTGGAGAATAGATCTTTAATAAGAGACGACACACGGTTAATTGGGAGGCAGCGCAAACGACGCGGCCCTTTGACGGCGACCGGAAGTCGTTCATTAAGCTGATGAGTTAATTTTCCTCGGGGGGGGGGGGAAATCGAAAGCAAAGAGGCTCTCATGAGAACTCAATGGAACCCACTGTGCCCAGAAAATCACCATGGCGGACCTCTGAGGTCCTTCATGCTGCTCGGCTTCACAACCTCCAGGCTCCCAATTCTAATTAAAACGGGCTAATTAGGGTGCTGAAAGCAAGAGGTCCTTACAGATGCAAGTGCTTTCCCCAGTGCGTCGCCGGTCTGCGAGCTGCCGGCCGCCCCGCTTCCTCTGTTGGCTGCAAAACAAGAGATCCAGTGTGAATACGGATGGAAAAGCAGCACACGTGTTCATCTTCCAGGACCTTTCCACCCCAACCCATT